AACCATTCGCTAGAGACAAAGCTACCCTGAGATTCTGTGTGCTGATACACGTATTAGTTCTTCACCCTCAGAGATTTTCAAAAGCCAGGCAATTTTAGGAAAAAAGTTCTTGTCTGCTCAGCCATCAGCAGTTGAAGACGAGGACCAGATCACTGTGTGGGCTGAAGCTAACCCGACTCCTTTTCCCATCTTCAGCTTTACAAAGGTGTCTGCGAACTGGGCCACTGGGCTGAGAAATTCCTGACAGCCTACTTTGCCTATAAGGATGGTGATGTAGACTCTTCTCTCATTCAGTACGCACTGCTTGCAGAAATGGGATACGAAGTCGCTCAAAGCAATTCAGCATTCATCTTGGAAACTAGTAAGATAAGATCTTCACAATTCCCCAACCATGCATATGCAGAAATGGCTTACTATGTCCTCATTTAAGCCTTTTTAATGAAACAGTTCCTCCTTTTTTTTTTTTTTCCTTTTTCTTTTAGAAAAGGCTAAAATTCTGGGGAAAGAGAAGATGTATCCAATGGCGCTTCTGCTATGGAACCGAGCCGCCATCCAAGGTATGAAACAGATCAAAATAGGCACATAGCTGGACCACATCGATGGCTATTCCTCTGATTTGCTTCAGTTGTGTGGTTGGGAACAGAGGCACAGCGGTACAGGGTGTCAAGCAGCGGGCACTTCAAATTGCTCTACTGTGAGAGGTCATTTCTGAGCATTTATTTTCTTCATTATTCTCCAAGTCTCTCAGTTTAGCAAGCCCTCGGAGTTTGTCTCTGTCTCCATGGTACCAGAACTGTTGTTCAAAACAGGATAATTTTACTCAAGAAAACAATTATCTGGGTCTGGCTTTAGCCATTCATTTGCTGAGCTGTTTGCTGAGCCGATCTGAGATGTGACCTATGTCTCCGAGTCTGTAGGCAAAAGTAATTTTATGTGCCGACTACATCTGACTTCTCTTCTAAAATGAGACATTGATGATGACAACACACATCAGATATTTAACTGTCAATATGTTAGAATTTAAAAAAAAAAAGTGGGAAGATCCTTTCTTGGCACCCTCCAGGCTTTCCTACTTACTGGTTTCACACGTGGTGAGGAATGTAAACTATCATTGCTCAGAACAGCACTGGCAGGTGGCATTTGAATCACCATGTCCCTTCCAATTCTCCCCCCACCCCAGAATTATAGTATTAAAATCAGAGCGATGTGGCACAGCTGTCACGGTTGGCATTTGGATGTGTGAGGAACTCTGGCAATAAGAGAGCAATTTTATTTCCAATTAGGTTTCTTGAAAATCATCTCCTGTTAAGGCTGAATCATCCCTTTTAACAGGAAGTAATAGGATAAAAAAAATGATTCTCAGCCAATGCTAATATGAAGCAGAGGAGGAAAAAAAAACCCAGTGGTGCCTTCGCAGACCCAGCTGAGCTGGTAACTCAGCAGCGAGCCATCAATGCGATTTTAGTGAGAAATTCTATGTTTTGTAAAATGCAATAAAGACCTTATTTGGAGCGAGAAAACAACGCCAGCAATCTCTCAGCCATAGCAAATCAGCTCGGTTGCAACAGATACATGTTTATTTCAAGCCAGGAAATGGTGTAGAAATTGAACCAAAGAACACAGAAGCTGAAAATGAAGAGACATTAATATTAAATAGAACACGCACATACACACACACACACACACACACACACACTTGCCAGTTTGCTCAAAATAACCCTGTGTTAAAAGGTCAGACATACCCATCTCAAAGTTATGGCTGCTGAGTGGCCCACAAAAGGTAGGAATTCTAATAATGAAAACTTCTAATTAATGCTTCTTTTAGCCACTGCTTCATATGAAGAGCGGACTGAGACACCAGGGCCCGGGAACCACCTTGCAGCTGTGGGATTGAAGTAGACAGACATCTCTAGTCAACAGATCTACCCAGGAGCCTGTCAGAATTGCCACATGTACTCATTCGGGTACTGTGGCACTGCGCACGGGCTTGGTCACTGTCCTCCATTCTCAGAGACTTGGGGGATCCTGTTCTCAACTGCAAAGCTTAATATTACACAAGTGTCCCATCCCTTTGTGACTGTGGCCAAACAGTAACCTTGAGAGTCAGCATGACAGATTGAAACAAAACTAGAGATGGAATGGGTTTTTCTTTGGGGCCTCATGTCTCTCCTGGCCTCTGTAGTCACCCTTGCTTGGGTGACATCCCTATCGACCCTCGCTCCCATTTGCCTGTACATTTTGTGTGAATCATGTAGGAAGTGAAATCTGAAACCCAATGTCTTCATCAGCTTATGAGTTTTAAAATGTTGGCTCTTCTCAGAGGGAAACAAAGATGGCTCATGGTGTCACATATCTTTCAAGTGTCTGAGCTTGAACTGGAAGTTTAGAGGAATTTTGTTAACCAAAGGTAGAACTCTAAAAGAAATCCACAGCACTGGGCCAAACTGAGAAAGAATTTTGGAAGGGAGTCCTATATATCAAGACATACCTCAGACCCTAATACACTGGTTCCCATTTTCCAAGAAAGCCTGGATTTTGTGAAGGGTTGGCCACAGCTGAGACAAATGGCCACCATAAATTCTCCCTCATCCTCTCAACCCACATTCTTTTAGGGAACGGAAGCATGGCCATCTCCTGAGATACATGCATACCCTCAAAAGCCATTTCTAAGTGACCACAAATCTTTGAAAGTAATATGATTTCCTCCCTCCATGATATATCCGTGTTTATTAGAAAGTAATATCCTAAATTAGCTCTGGGGAAGGATTTTCTAAAAATATCCTAACACGATCATTCTATAAATATTTATCAAGTACCTTATGAGCTCCAGAACAATTTTAGTAATTAAGAACCTTAGGGTTCTTGCTTTGCCCTTATGGGGCTAGATGAGAGTAGAGTTTTAGAAAGGAATTCTAGGGGCAGGAAAGATGGGATCCAGTTCTCCAATAACTGTTGTCCTATATCCAAATATGAATTTATGTGTAGTTTATTATTTCTTTCAGAACATCATAATCATGAATATTATCCTGCAATGAACATGACTAGCATCGTATTTGTGTCTTGTCTTTCATATAGTATATGTAATCTTACCTGTGAGATTTCGACTTTCTCATGTGTACATATGCATGTAAGAGTATGTATTTGGTGGGTTTTGTTTTTGTTTTAGAAGACAAATTAAAATTCCCTCACAGTGGGAATTTTTTTTAGATCTATTTATTTATTATGTATGGTATGTATACAGTGTTCTACCTACATACCAGAAGAGGGCACCAGATCTCATTATAGATGGTTGTGAGCCACCATGTGGTTGCTGAGAATTGAACTCAGGACCTCTGAAACAGCAGTCAAAGCTCTTAACCTCTGAGCCATCCCTGTGTTACTATTCTCTCTTTCTGGTTTTCTTCTCAGGGAATGCCTTCGCTAGAGTGAAAATTGGAGATTACCATTACTATGGCTATGGGACGAAGAAAGACTACGAAACAGCAGCCACACACTACAGCATCGCAGCAGACAAGCATCACAGTGCGCAAGCCATGTTCAATCTGGCCTATATGTATGAGCACGGCTTGGGTATCGCAAAGGTAATTGCATTTTTCAAAGCTGGAAATTACAGCTGTGTAAGAAGAAAAAAATTATAAATGTTTGGAATTTCATCGATGTCCTTAATGTAGAAGAAAGAAAAGAGTCCCTCTCCCTTGTGCTAACACATATAACTACACTATTGCCTTCGTGTCCTCCAAGTAAACAATTAATGAGTAGAAGAAATCTAAATTAGGCCAACCTGACTGATGCATTCCTTCTTTTCCCAACACATACTGTTGTGGTGAGCCCTGCCTCCACCTCATTCTTGATGTGACTTATGCATTGACATCTGCACCATCTCTTAAATGGTCAGTAATAACAAGGAGGTGGAACGAGGCCTGGGCTATAGAGTAGGGTGGCGTGCATTCCTCTTGCAAAGCAGTCTTCATCTCCATGACACCATGCTGGGCACTGTAAAGACACCTAAGAGGTTATAGAGCCCAAGTCTGGCTTGAGGCATGCTCACTAATGAAAGAGCGCCCTAACAGTGCAAGTTAGTGGGAAAAATCCCTTAGGCAGCAGGTTTGATTAGGCAGAGATGTATTATGAGTATGAAAGGAGGAGGCAGGTATGTTAAATATTAATATTAACCAGTTTGGGTTACATGTGATATACATGTACATATATACATACATATCTATATTGAGGTAAGCACTCTGTCCTTGTGTGCATCAGGATCCGCACTGCAGATGTAAAGTCATTTGGCTAATTTTACAGAGTTTCCTTAGTGGTGGATCCAGAATTTTATGCAAGGCATGTCTGATCCCAAACATCTTCAGGAAAAAAAAAACGGGACCGACAATGAGTCATTCTTAGCAACAAAGCATGTTTCTCTCCACGGCGCTTATGTGCCTAAATAGTTCGAGAGTGAAGCACCACCGTGGAGCCTCCTCACTCTCTGTGCTCTCTTCTTCCGTCCAGGAGGACTGGCGGTTGAGGATTGTTGGTAGGGAGTTTCCCAAGAACCGCTGAACCAGCACTCTCTACAGCCAAAGGCTTCTTATTCCGGCCCTGACTGCTGGGTCATGCAGACACCACTGTCTTGTCCTCGCTGCAGCCTGCCTTTGCCCGATCATTTTCCAACAGTCAGCCCTGAGCAATAACATGTCAACTCCAAATCCAACCCATTTTCCCACTCCTAGCAGAGGTGAGCTACCTCTGTTTGTAAAATGGACAGGACTGAATGCTAAACTGGATATTTCTCTGAATGTTATTTGTTGACTCTCCACCTCCCACCGCCATCCACATCACTGAAACAGAGCTAATGATACCTGGCCTACCCTCCGGCTTAGAGGATTAAATGAACAAGCCTGTGTGAAAAGGCTTTGGAGTTATACACTATGTGGAATGACGGTCACTTGATCAGAAGGGAATTGGAACAGTTGCTAAGGTTTCAATAAGATCAAGGTGTTTATTCATTAAGTCCTCATATAAAACACCAAAACCCAAGAAAAGCATTGTTTACAGAACGTGTACAAATGACTCCACCCAGTGTGTTCACTAAGTCAGCCCTCCTGCCCAGGGTGATTCAAAACAGGACTCACTCACTCCTAACAGCCACATCCTCACCACAGTGAGACCATTTCCTCCTGTGTACCCAGAGGCCCAATGGCGCATCCTCTCATGACACGTGGCCAAGACTGCGGGAGAGGACTGTCAAGGGCCCAGCATTGGACCATACCGGTGGCTTAGGTTTTCTTTCCTCCATACCCATCAGGGAGCCTCTCTTCTGGGCACTTTCTTCACTATTCAGATAGCAGCTGTTGGGACATCCATTCCACATTCAGAAAAAAATAGTCACAGGTTCTTCTCTCTGAACCTTTTCTCGTCTTTCCTGTCAGGTTTCCTCTTAACTCACAAGTCGTTCACTGTGATCAAACTGATCCATTTTCCTTAATGGAGGTCTCATGGGTTTTTGTTTGGTTGGTTGGTTGTTTTGAAGAAAACATCTATATTAAACCAAAGAGAGAGAAAAAGAAAGAAAGAGAGAGAAGAAAAGAATCCGGGGGCTGCTCTCCGACCTCTATCAGGACTTTGGATTTAGCTGGTGAGAGATCACTATGCTTTGTCCTTACTAAGCTCCTCGTTTAGCAATTAGAAAAATAATTACCAAGCGTTCGGGGCAAACTTTCTTAATTTCATCATCTCAGACAAATTAATAAAGTGACTCTAATTTTCAAAAATAAGCTTTCTGATGAGTTCAACCCTCAAACTTATTCCAAAGAGATTAGGAGAACGGTCTTTCTAGCATTTGTCCACTTTGTAGCAGTTCATCAGTGTGGCACGCCACAGTTCTTGTTACTATAAATCCTCGTACAAACCAGTGAGACAAAATGAGGGTAATGTCATTTCCAGAGAGTCTCTGAGAATGTAAGAAGGTTGGTGGAAATATGATTGGTAAACTCTTGAATTTAAGGAGGAAAGTGAGGTATAAATCAACCCTTGGGGAGTTGGTGTAAAAATATGAGCCTCTGTGTGCTCTTTTGTCTTTGGGAACAGATGGTGGGCCTAAGGTAACGCAGACGCCTTATCCTAATAATTGCTTCACTGAGAAGCACCTCAGCGCAGTGGGCGGCTTGATCTAAACACAGGGTTGGGGCAGACAGTGTCACTGTAGGAACATAAAACACCTTGTTTCTCAAATCCCTCTTCTGCCGGAGATGTGAACAGAACCCCCACCGCACACCACACACACCTTCTTCTAAACTCCCTAGGACAAAACAAAGAATGGCTCCTCTAGAGTTCACCCCAGTGGGGGGGCTAATGAGTTGGGGTGAGGGGTGTAGTGCTTTACTTACAGAGCACGGGTCAGGAGTTGCTGACAGGACAGAGGGTGATCCCAAAGCAACCACATGGGCAAGTTTTCATCAAGCGTGGACGTTGGCTTCTCCATAGCCGAAAAGATGGACCCCTCCCCCTGAGCTTCCCAAGCCTATATACTCTAGCACCTCCCTAAGGCCACATACAAATAAGACAAACTTACCAACAGAGCTGTAAGAAGTAGCTAGAACAGGAACTGAAGACCCAGTGACCTTCCCCAACTCCTCCTGCTGTCGGGAAGTATCAACTCTCTACAGGCCCATCTGTAAGGATCCTCTGCAAGCAGACTCGACTCACCTGATGAAGATGGTGGTTGTCTTGCTGTAAGGATAGAGCTGTCCCACACGCCTGAAGGAAAATTAACTGAGGGTAGGAACTTAAAAACACAAGCATTCAGCTCGCAAATTATTATGAAACTCTCTTGCAGTTTATATTTTTTAATTACTTCGGAAGTTATGCTATGAACAAACCCTGCTATCCATTCTCCTGGCCATTCCAATTCTGTCTCTACTCTGGATCAGTTCTAAATTGTTTTTTCACATTGGTCTGTGGCAAAGGCTAACTGGTACCTTCAGTTCTGCTATTCTCCCATTACATTTATACCAGAAATACCCCTGCCCACTAGAGACTTATAATTGCTAGTCTTTAGAACATTTATGGAAGGATGCCTGTCTACTTGGACTACATTTCCCAACATCCTTTGCATCCATGTGCCTGCCCCCCCCCAACTGCTAGGTGCCATTTGTTCTAAGGCAGCCAGTACATAAAAACAGTTTCTCCCTCGTCACTTTGCACTTTGTTGATGGAACACAGCAGAAAGCAGAGGCTCTGGGGAAATGCAGAACCACTTAATGGAAAAGAGCTGAGTCCCTTAATTACCAGTGGAAAAAAATCATCTACCACCCAGGAACATCCATGTTAAATGTTGATTAAAGGTAAAAACAAACCTTTCAGTGTTATGTGCCTGAATTCGGAGTTTATTTGTTACGAGTGTTAGCATTACCTTAAGGAATGCTCAATTCATCTACCACTACTATGATATTGTGCATAAAGTTTAACTCCTTCACACTGTTACTTCCCTTACTGGCCCCAACAGCAATGCAGACAAACACACAAACTGAAAATACCTTCCTGGCATAATAATTCCTCGACTTCTTTCCTGAAATTCAGAGCTTTCTTGGACTTAACTGTTCTTGATAACAACAGCCTCATAGACCACTTTTCTTCTAAATATGTTCAAGGCTATGTATTCTTTCCCCACAAATCCTTCAGTATATCTCCGGGTTTAAGATTCCTAATTCTAGAACGCCCTGTTGTTACGGTCTGACTTTCCTTCACTCGTCTGTATGTTTATCACATACACCTGGTAAGGTGATTGCTCACATTATGAAGCTCATTCATATCACATGTGCTCAACTATGTTCAGCTGAAACTAAGACACAGCCTAGGCCTTATAGCATCTGTTTTCTTTCATGCTGGGAAGATTTGTCCCAATCTTCTGAATTTTAAGTACTCCAGGTGAGAATGTTCTTTTTTTTGGTTCCAACAAATTTATTTAGCAGACTTTGAAGCTTTAGAAGTCTTTAAGAAATGAGCCAGCACATATCTTGTGATATGAATGAGCATCCCTTGGGTATATACCCAACAGTGGTATTGCTGGGTCTTGAGGTAGATTGTTTCCTAATTTTCTGAGAAGTTGCCATACTGATTTCCAAAGCAACTATGTAAGTTTGCACTCCCACCAGCAATGCAGGAGTGCTCCCCTTACCCCACATCTTCTCTAGCATAAGCTGTCATCATTGGTTTTGATCTTGGCCATTCTGACAGTTGTAAGATGGAATCTCAGGGTTATCTTGATTTGCATTTCTCTTATAGCTAAAGATGTTGAGCATTTCCTTAGATGTCTTTCAGTCATTTGAGATTCATTTGTTGAGAGTTCTCTGTTTAGGTCTGTACCCCATTTTTGTTGGATTATTTGTTCTTTTGATGTCAAGTTTCTTGAGTTCTTTGTATATTTTGGAGATCAGCATGTGCTCAACTATGTTCATAACAGCATTATTTGTAATAGCCAGAACCTGGAAACAATCTAGATGCCCCTCAACTGAAGAATGGATAAAGAAAATGTGGTACATTTACACAATAGAGTAATACTCAGCAGATAATAATAATAATAATAACATCTTGAAATTTTGGGGCAAATGGATGAATCTAGGAAAAAATGTTGAGTGAGGTAACCCAGACCCAAAAAGATAAATATAATATGTACTCACTCATAAGTGGCTTTTAGACATAAAGTAAAAAAAAAAAAAAAAAAAAACAGCCTACAATCTACAACCCCAGAGAACCTAGAAAACAAAAAGAATCCAAAGAGAGACATACATGAATCTAAATAGGAAAGAGAAAAGACAAGGTCTCCTGAGTAAATTGGGAGCATGGGGGTCACAGGAAAGGGTAGAAGAAGAGAGGGGAGAAAGGGCGAGGAGAGAATAAAAATATATGGTTCATTTTTTTTTCATTGTAAACTGGTTGGCCTAGTAGCTCAGGCTTTTATTAACTAATTCTTACATGGTATTAGCCCATTATTCTTGTTTATGTTAGCCACGTGACTCAGTACCAAATTCGGCCAAGCAGTTACAGCTCGGTTGCTCTGTATGTGCTTCCTCTGAGTCTGGGTGACCACTGCAGAATAAAAGTTTCCTTCTCCCACATTTCTTGTTGGCAGACCTCTACTTCCTGCCTGGTCACCCCATCTTTATTTCCTGCCTGGCTACTGGCCAATCAGTGTTTATTTAAAATACAAGTGACAGGGTACAGATCATTGTCTCACAGCAATGCACTTAATTAATAAGATCATTATTATTCTTTTTTATTTATTTATTAAAAATTTCCACCTCCTCCCATTTCCCTCCCACTCCCCTACTCCTCCTCCCCCTCCCTCTCCAATCCTAAGAGCAGTCAGGGTTAGACATTTATTTATTTGACCTAAACAGATTCATTTGTTGAGAGTTCTCTGTTAGACAAATAAAAAAATTCTATGATACATACTACAGAGATTGTAGGATTATTATTAGCTATCTACACATAGGGATCTGTACTCGTGGTACCTCAAGTTCTTTGTTCTCAAGTAGGAGCTAACTAATCCCGGATGATATAGGAACAGTGTTCGAGGCCTGTGTTAGTTTTCCGTCACAGATGCCATTCACAGCATGCTGATTTTCTCGTGGTCTCTGTAGGTCAAGAGTCTAAATGGCCTGACTCTGCTTATGATCTCAGATGACTAAAATCAAGGCTAATTCTGTCCTGGAGGCAGTGGGAAAGAATGTGTTTTCAATCTGATTCAGGTTGTTAGTGAGCTAAGTTCCCTGACGATGTTAAGACCAAGCCCCTGTTTCCTGGCTGGCTCTTTGAGTTGCTTCTGATTCTTTCCCTGTTATCCCCCCCCCACCCCATCACCCAGTATAACGAGTTCCTCTCATACTTTCCATCTCCCTCTCCTGCCCCAGGCATGATGAAGTCATGGACAATTCTGCGGGCCCATTCTACCTACCAAATAGAAACTGTGATATTTCTAACAACGGTTTCTGTTTCTCAAGAATCTGTGCCTGATCGAGACGGGATGCTTTCTTTCCAGGACCTTCATCTGGCCAGAAGATTGTACGACATGGCTGCTCAGACAAGCCCAGATGCTCACATACCTGTGTTCTTTGCCCTTGTCAAACTGGAAACTGTGCACTTGCTCCGAGATATCCTGTTTTTTAACGTAAGTTTGTCTCAAATCGATTCTAAAATCTCTAAGAAACTCTGGGACAAAGTGATGAGGCTTACGAAGGGAGTGATTCTTTTTTTTTAGCTAACTTTTCTTTGATAAGTGGAATGCAAAGTCTTATACTTAGCACACAGCAACTCTGCTTGTTGAGCATGTGTTGACACTGTGTAGTACAACCAGTGAATTAATTCAGCAGATATTCTTTCCGCATACGCTGTGTTCAAAGCCTTAAGTAGAAATGTGCTATATATACTTGTTCAAAACACAGCTCCTGCCATGGGAATCTGAGACGGGAGAGCAGATGGCAGGTGGCAAGTGATACCACAAAGAGCTGTATTTCTTAAGCGTAGACATTAATTTTTTTGAGACAGGGCCTTATGACATAATCGAGGCTGGCCTGGAAGTCACTGTGTAACCCAGGCTGACCTCAAATTTGAGAGCCTTCTGCTTCAGGCTTCCCAGCGCAGGGATGACAGGCAAGTACCACCTTGTCCAACTAAATTTTATACAACTCTGTGGTTATTTTAGTGGCAGTAATGAAGCCCACGTATGGGCTCTACCCTGAAATAGATCTCATCTTCTAAGATGGAAGGGAGCAGGGGGCGAGCTGGGGGCTGGGGTGGCAGTGGCAGGCTTGTGAAAAGAGCTGGTTCTGACTACAGTCAGGCGCTGGGACTGTTTATTTGCTTGTTTGTTTTTGTTTTGTTTTTGACTGAATGCCTCTTGCCAGCAGTTTACCATGAGATGGAAATGGCTGAAAATGGACAGCACCGTTGGACCATACTGGGATTTATTTGTGATTGGCCTAATTGTTGCCATGCTGATCTTCTTGCTTACAAATCGCCATAGGTAGGCTCTGGACCATCAGGAAACCTACCCACAGGTTCATGCCAAGCTATCCTCAGCAAATAAAGAGTTTCCTCATCCAAATCAAGAGCCAATGCAGATTTCCCACACGGCTGTGATCAAAAAAGGACAAAGCTTAAGAACTGCCCTAGAGAAACAACTCCAGACTTTCTGCTTAGTCAGGGGAACCTTACTGGGATGCTGAGGACAGGTCATCTAAGACTACGCCACAAATTTATCATCTTGGTGATCTAGTGCTGGCCTCGATAAAGGTCACCATCTTTGTGTTTTAGCAAAGGTGTCCTTCCCTTTTGAGAGAACAAGCTGGGTGTCTTGGCTCTAGAACACATGCTGAAGTGTATGGTAGTTTCAGGGGAGGTAGGAATACAGATGCCTGAGAAGATGACCAATTTCCTAAACAAATAGATTCCATAAGGATGATCTTGGGGGCAAACTGAAGTCCTGATGAACAACAGGACTGCTTCTTCACAGCAGGTCATGCCTGGATAAAGGGGGGCAGGGTGGCAAAAGTAGAAGCTGGTATCAGCTTCATGGCACAAATGAAAAGATCTAGCTTTTCTTGATCCCAGCAGGCAAGTCAGGGGCCTAAGACTATGCAGGGGGATTCATGGATGAGGAGAAACCAATAGACCCATGACCTCTATTGTAGGCGAGGCTTGACCCCTCGCTTTATTCCTTTTTAGCTGTTTTTGAAATCTTTTCGCTTCAGTTTCCT